CTGAGTTTGGCCAGTGAGAAGCCCTTGGATCTGACTCCCATGGTTTTCTGACATGTCCCATCATAATTGGAGCTGTACTATCACTTTATTTGTTTTCTGATTTATTTCCAAGCAATGATTTTTAAGGTTTAAAATAGATTGTTCCACTATAACACTTTTCTCCCTATTTGCCTCATTTCAAGTCAAGTTTGTATAAATAGTACCTAGAAAAGAGAGAAGAAAATAAATGATAGTAGCCCCTTTGTTTCTATGACTACTTGGTCACCATACTGTTCCTGCAAACTACTGGGTATGCTCCTGCAGTAGGGCTTGGCACTCACCATACCCTCTACCTAGAATGCCCCTTCTGATGCCCCATCAGGGCTCGCTCCCCCATTTCCTTCAAGTCATAGTACTATCATCCTCTTCTCAGGGAGGCCTTCTCTGACTACTTCATTATAGTAAAGCTCCTTTGATGATAACCCCTTCATTCCCAAGGTTTCATTCTAAAGTAAGACAACTGGTTTAACCGATCAATGGTTAAGTCACAAACATGGCATTAGCCCTTGTTGGATTCTTTTACCATTGTGGATTGACAAACTCCATAAAATGCCCAATGGTATACACATAGTCCTTCTGGGTCATGAAAACAAAGTAGATGCTACCCACCCTACTGCTTCTGTCTTCCTTATTCAATACTATTCCCCATAGCACATCCAATTCTGTATCACTTTGTTATAGAATTAATCTAATGTTTAAAGCTGTTAGTATCAATAAATATGAAATCAAATGAAAGCATCAATGAACAAGGATAAAGTAGAACTATTTGTCTTTTCCTTTGGAACATTCTCTAAAAGAAAATCTGTTTAAATTGTAACACTCACCATTTGCTTTTCCAAAGTGTTTTGAAACACAAACAGATCCTTCCCCATCAAGCTACCAACGAGTTTCTTCACAGAATTGGAAAAAACTGCTTTAAAGTTCATATGGAACCAAAAAAGAGCCCGCATCTCCAAGACAATCCTAAGTCAAAAGAACAAAGCTGGAGGCATCACGCTACCTGACTTCAAACTATACTACAAGGCTACAGTAACCAAAACAGCATGGTACTGGTACCAAAACAGAGATATAGACCAATGGAACAGAACAGAGTCCTCAGAAATAATACCACACATCTACAGCCATCTGATCTTTGACAAACCTGAGAGAAACAAGAAATGGGGAAAGGATTCCCTATTTAATAAATGGTGCTGGGAAAATTGGCTAGCCATAAGTAGAAAGCTGAAACTGGATCCTTTCCTTACTCCTTATACGAAAATTAATTCAAGATGGATTAGAGACTTAAATGTTACACCTAAAACCATAAAAATCCTAGAGGAAAACCTAGGTAGTACCATTCAGGACATAGGCATGGGCAAAGACTTCATGTCTAAAACATCAAAAGCAACGGCAGCAAAAGCCAAAATTGACAAATGGGATCTCATTAAACTAAAGAGCTTCTGCACAGCAAAAGAAACTACTATCAGAGTGAACAGCAACCTACAGAATGGGAGAAAATTTTTGCAATCTACTCATCTGACAAAGGGCTAATATCCAGAACCTGCAAAGAACTCAAACAAATTTACAAGAAAAAAACAAACAACCCCATCAAAAAGTGGGCAAACGATATGAACAGACATTTCTCAAAAGAAGATATTCATACAGCCAACAGACACATGAAAAAATGCTCATCATCACTGGCCATCAGAGAAATGCAAATCAAAACCACAATGAGATACCATCTCACACCAGTTAGAATGGCGATCATTCAAAAGTCAGGAAACAACAGGTGCTGGAGAGGATGTGGAGAAACAGGAACACTTTTACACTGTTGGTGGGATTGTAAACTAGTTCAACCATTATAGAAAACAGTATGGCGATTCCTCAAGGATCTAGAACTAGATGTACCATATGACCCAGCCATCCCATTACTGGGTATATACCCAAAGGATTATAAATCATGCTGCTATAAAGACACATGCACACGTATGTTTATTGCGGCACTATTCACAATAGCAAAGACTTGGAATCAACCCAAATGTCCATCAGTGACAGACTGGATTAAGAAAACGTGGCACATATACACCATGGAATACTATGCAGCCATAAAAAAGGATGAGTTCGTGTCCTTTGTAGGGACATGGATGCAGCTGGAAACCATCATTCTTAGCAAACTATCTCAAGAACAGAAAACCAAACACCGCATGTTTTCACTCATAGGTGGGAACTGAACAATGAGATCACTTGGACTCTGGAAGGGGAACATCACACACCGGGGCCTATCATGGGGAGGGGGGAGGGGGGACGGATTGCATTGGGAGTTATACCTGATGTAAATGACGACTTGATGGGTGCTGACGAGTTGATGGGTGCAGCACAACAACATGGCACAAGTATACATATGTAACAAACCTGCACGTTATGCACATGTACCCTAGAACTTAAAGTATAATAATAATAAAAAATAAAAAAATTTAAAAAAAAACAAACAGAAAACCCTCAACAAACAATCAGATAATAATCATCATCAAAGGGATACCCACAGCCTTTACGACTAGTCAAGTGCTTTAACTCAGTCATTCAGCACAGAAACTCACTTTTCCCTGAGAACATTCCCTCAACATACAATTCAAAGTGACTGCATTTCATCAATTAGGATTAAAGGTATCCTCACTAAAGTGCATAGCAAGTTCCATGACTCACTGAGTTTACCCAAAGCAAACTCAGTAAGTTATTACCATGTATTGCCAGTGTCTTAGTAGGTCTTCTTAAGTTTCTCAAATGACTTACCTAGTCTTTTTCTAAAACCACTAATATATTTCAGACATTCAAAAGTATATTATTTCCAACTGCTGTATTGAGGGCACATAGGATGGCTGACTTTTCCCCTCAATGTCTGTTTTTCATTAAATTACTTAACAGAAATCTTTTAGGTTTCTGAGATGTTTCATGCTTCTGCATTGTAAAGCCAATACATTTGTCAACATAGTAAATAAGTAAATGTTCACAAGCCACAAAATGATGAGGCACCTCACTGTATAAAATAATGGAACAAATTCTGCCAACATGTAATGTATTCCCAAGGGTAAAGGATGAACATTAACTATACTTTAAATCCCCCGGTTACCTGGTCCACTTAGTGAAATTCTGGAGTGGTTTACACTCAAGGACCTAATGATACAACCTACAGGCCTAATTTACCTTCCAAGATGCCTGTTTTAGACACAGTAATATCTAGCTGATTTTAAGTGAAACTCATGATCTCCAAAAAAAAAATTAAATACCATGTAAATTCACTGGCCATTTGTTTCTTCATTATAATGTTAGCTATTCTCGGTATTCAACTGTTTAAGATAAAAAGCATACCACAGTATTTAGTCCTCTAACATGCAAAGAAAAACTATATTCATCATACATGATAAAATATAACTTCTTGTTCTTGAGGTCTAGAACTGCACTGTCCAATATAGTGGTCGATAGCTACACATAGCTATTGAGCACTTGCAATCTATCAAGTCCAAAGTGAGATAAGCTGTAAATGTAAGATACACACTGGATTTCAAAGATTTAGCATGAAAAAAAATGTAAAATATCTGACTAATAATTTCATGTTGATTACATGTTGAAACAGTATTTTGATAAACTGGGTTTAAAAGTATATTATAAAAATTAATTTCATTGCTTCTTTTAAGGTTTTTTTAATGTGGCTACTAGAAATTTTTAAATTATGTATGTGGCTCATATTTGAGGCTTGCATTTATCTTATTTCTATTGAAGAGGGCTGGTCTAGACTAAAAGCAGGCAAAAGTCACAGTTATAAGGCCAGTTCCATAGTGTGTTATAAACATACTGCCACCACACAACTCTCTCATTTTCTGAGATTGTTAGCAGATCATCAAACCTCATAAGCAGCAGAGGACTAAGCCTAGGTGAATTCAGTTTGTGATGAATAAAATTATAAATCTTACACATATTAAGATGCTATCATGATGTTTAATTAGGCAACACAGTAACTACCCGTTGTAACTATCTTACAAGCAACTATCATGTTATTAACATATCCAAAGTTTATATATTTTATTGTTTTATTATCTTATTTCTATAAACACTATACCAAATATCCTTAAAAACAGATTATTATCTACTGAATATCTTTATTTAGATATCATGGGCATTTCAAATTCATTATGTCCAAAACGGAAAGCATTCTCTTACTGTTGAGAGGTAATTGTCCATGGCGTTTTTATTTGTCTCTGAGTAAAGACAGGATATGCTTCTGGGTTAGAGAGTACATTTGTTTCCTGGCCAGCATAACAAAGATAGTATCATCCTCCAGGATAATGATTTTGGGCAAGTTTGCAAGTAGCCTCTTATAAGATTGGGAGGACACAGGTCCACTGTGTATACAGCATCTATCTGGGCCTCACTCTGTATCATGGGACTTGGGGAATTCATAAAAGCATGAAGATCATGCTGCCTTTTTGCTTTGAGTAATAAACTGTCTAAATCTATCTAGGCTCATTGCTTCCTTCTCAACGGAATCTACAGAAGTGTGATGAGCCAGCCTAGCAGCTGACTGCTGCTTGAAACTGCTTGACACTCACTTTCCCTTTTACTTTCTCAATCTTTATACAAGCATCACTATGTACCCACTGCCCAAGTCAGAAACCTGACCGTCAATCTTGACTCCTGCCTCTCATTCACCAGGCCCCCCATATCCAGTCAATTGCCAAGTCCTAGTCATTCTATCCTCTTAATTTCTCTCAAACTATCTATTTATCTCCATTCCCACTACTTTAACCCTAGTTCAGGTCATTACCCTCTCTTACGTATATGCTTAATTTGTGCCACTACACCAGTGTTACCCCACTTCACTCTATTCTCCATACTGCAGCTGGAATGATCTGATTTGTCATTTCTTTGACCTCAGGATAAAGTCCAAGCTTCTTAGGATGACAAAGTATTTCAAAACCAGGACTTACATAGCATGTTTCTTGATATTCCATTTGTGACTGTTTCACCTGAGGGGGAAAGAGGGTGGAAGAGAAGGAGAAAACAAGAGATTAGTCCCACTTCTAACATAAAAGACTTGGGAGCAAAGGATAAACTGGGTGCTATGGCCTAGAAGGAGCACTTTAAGAGAGCTGAACCTTAGCACTTTAAGAGAGCTTAACTGCCAGAGTTCCTTTCTTCCTTATTCATATAAAGATTTGACGGTTACTATGTAAGGTAATGAATATGTAAACTACCTTGATTGTAATAATCATTCCACAATGTAAACATATATCAAAGCATCATGTTCTATATCTTAAATGTATACAATTTTTATTCGTCAATTATACCTCAGTAAAGCAGGGAAAAAAGATTTGAATCCGACTAAACTCAATGACTTCCTCTGTTAGAACTGGTAACCAAAAATTGACCCAACATAGCCAAGAAGGACCATTATCACTTTACTCACTGCCAGCCACATTTATTCTGATGAAGAGAATGTGCCATCTGTAAGCAATATTACTTTCTTGTTATTAGATTTTTGAATGGACCATTAAGGCCACATCTTTTCCTTTTAGTTCATGGCACCCAATATAAAGGCTTTTCTTTTAAAATGCCTGATGTTAAAAAATGCTGAAATCAGTTGAATCATGTAGATGGAATGCCGAAAGTTCAGACCAGGCCTCCATCCTCATCTCTCATTCATGTTGTTTCCTCTGCCTTGAACAGATTTTCCTGGTTTTTTGTCTGATTAAGCCCCTCTTCTTCATTACTTAGCTTAAATTTTATCTCCTCCAGGAAGCCTTTCCTGACTCTCAAAGTAGCATTAGATGTCTTTCCTATGAATTCTCTTAGCATTTAATACTTGCTCATGTTTCAGCATTTAGTACACAGTATTTAAATGATATATTTGCTTATCTCCCCTAATAGACAGTAACCTCCTTGAAGACAATGTGTCTAACTCATTATTTTATCCCCAGTGGTAGCATCATGCCTAGCACATAACAGATACCCAATCAGTAATTATTCATTATAAATAGATAAATAATTAGATAAGTCTTTGGAAAATAAAAAAGGGAATTAAAATCTTTTTAAAAACGAGGAGAAGGAGGGGTTAGGCTGTGGAGTTCTTCTTATCTCTACCCACATTCTCTCTCTCTCCCTCAATCCTCTCTTTCTCTCTCTCTCTCTCTCACACACACACACACACACACACACACACACACACACAGACACACACACACACAAACAGAAAGTTAATTTTATGTATCAACTTGACTGGGCCATGGGGACCCAGATACTTGATTAAACATTGTTTCTGGGTATGTCTCCAAGGATATTTCTAGATGAGATTAACTTTTGAATCGGTTGAGTAAAGCAGATGGGTCTCTCAAACGTGGATGGGCATCGGGCAACCCATTGAAGGCCTGAATAGAATAAAAAGACTGAGTAAGAAGGAATTCTTTCTCTCTACCTATCTGCAAACTAGGACACTGGTTTCTCCTGCCTTCAGACTTGTACACAGACTGGAACTTACACTATTGGCTTTCTTGGTTCTCAGGCCTTCAGACTCCAGCTGGAACTATACCATGAGCTCTCCCTGGTCTGGCTTTCTCAGACTCCACAATCAAGTAAGCCAGTTTTTTATAGTAAATCTCTCACTCACTCACTCTGTCTCTGAAGATATCTACATCTTACTGGTTCTGTTTTTCTGAAGCACTTTAGTACACACACTGACATGCCATGTCACTGATGTTTTCCCTAATTTCAACAGCCTTCCCAGTCCTAGGTTTGCAGTTTCAGCACTACCAACTTTCATGAGGAAAGATAAATGCATTTTTTCAAATATATTCTTTTTCTCTCAACTAAGCCTCCAAACATTTCTTACAACTATAAAGGCCTGGATACAGCAACAATGTAGATCATCTTACTTTACTCCAAAAACCCAATAGGAAAATGTGTTTTAAACTTCTAAAATACAAATACTAGACCATTTATTAACTATATGCTCCTAATATTCACTTTCTTACATTTTTACTAAACCTAATATTTCTTCACCTTTGAAAACTTTAGAGATAACATAAAATATTGTGATTATAGAAATCCATCATCTTGTTCATGTAAGGCAGAGTTGAATGTAATCTCTACATAAATCAAGTTTGTTTCCAGGCCAGGAGAACTAAGGTGGTGAAGATAGGATGACAGCTAAACTGGACAACTTGTTCATTAACTTTTTAGCATCAAAGATCTTTATCTTTGCCCACTATCATTTCCAAAGACCTGAGGTACTGCTGGCCTCTGGTTCTGAATTTTGGAAAGAGAAGCTTAGAATGCCGTTAAGGTTTCTTCCAAGATCTTATCTAGAGTGACCAACATAGCCCCTCAAAAAAGTCAAAGAAGAGAGACCTTCAAGTCAACTGATGTACTATGGCAGGTTTCAAGGATGTCTGTTATCTCATCAGTGCAAACAGCTGAGGGAAATTCTGGTGACCTGGAGGCCATTAGTCAGTTGCCCCCAATTTAAATTGTCAGTTTTCTTTGGCCACTATCTGAAATGAAACGATTTCAGAAAGATCAAGGTAGCTCAACTTTATAACCAAGTTCTTTTAGAATATAGAAAGCAAAGTTCTTAAACTTGTAGAGCATTCTACTTCAGAGTAAGAATAAGTATAACATCACTGTGGAGATAAATCTATGTTCTAGGAATGACTCTGCAACTTTAAAGTCTCCTGAGCCTTGGCTTCCTCTTTGTCATAAGAATTAGCTAAAAAACAATCCAATGTGCCTATAACATTACATAACATGTGTAGATGCTCAACAGAAGGCAGTTATAATTTTGAAAGATTCTCCATAAGAAGTTAGCAAAGTACAGCCTGCAGGGCACACTACCCAATGCCTGTTTTTGTAAATAAAGTTTCATTGGAATACAGCACACTTATGACTACTTCTGGGCTACAATGACAGAGGTGAGTAGTAGAAAGAGTAATGACAGTTGTAACAGAGACCGTATGACCAACAAAGTATAAAATATTTACTATCTGGCCCTTTATAGAAAATGCTTGCTAGCTGGGGGTGCCAAGATGGCCGAATAAGAACAGCTCCAATCTACAGCTCCCAGTGTGAGCAACGCAGACAGGTGATTTCTGCATTTCCAACTGAGGTACCGGCTTCGTCTCACTGGGGCTTGTCAGACAGTGGGTGCAGCCCACAGAGTGTGAGCTGAAGCAGGGCGGGGCATTGTCTCACCTGGGAAGCGCAAGGGGTCTGGGAATTCCCTTTCCTAGCCAAGGGAAGCCATGACAGATGGTACCTGGAAAATCGGGATACCTCCACCCTAATATGCGCATTTCCAATGGTCTTAGCAAACAGCACACCAGGAGATTATATCCTGTGCCTAGCTTGGATGGTCCCATGCCCACAGAGCCTTATTCACTGCGAGCACAGCAATCTGAGATCAAACTGCAAGGCGGTAGTGAGGCTGGGGGAGGGGTGTCCACCATTGTTGAGACTTGAGTAGATAAACAAAGCGGCTAGGAAGCTCAAACTGGGTAGAGCCCACCGCAGCTCAAAGAGGCCTGCCTGCCTCTGTAGACTCCACTTTTCAGGGTAGGGCATAGCTGAACAAAAGGCAGCAGAAATTTCTGCAGACTTAAACGTCCCTGTCTGATAGCTTTGAAGAGAGTAGTGGTTCTCCCAGCATGGAGTTTGAGATCTGAGAATGGACAGACTGCCTCCTCAAGTGGGTCCCTGACCCCCGAGTAGCCTAACTGGGAGACACCTCCAAGTAGGGGCCAACTGACACTTCATACAGCCAGATGCCCCTCTGAGACAAAGCTTCCAGAGGAAGCATCAGGCAGCAACATTTACAGTTCTGCAATATTTGCTCTTCTGCAGCCTCTGCTGGTGATACCCAGGAAAATGGGGTCTGGAGTGGACCTCCAGCAAACTCCAACATACCTACAACTGAGGGTCCTGACTGTTAGAAGGAAAACTGACAAACAGAAAGGACATCCACACCAAAACCCCATCTGTACATCACCGTCATCAAAGACCAAAGGTAGATAAAATCACAAAGATGGCGAGAAACCAGAGCAGAGGAGCTGAAAATTCTAAAAATCAAAGCACCTCTTCTCCTCCAGAGGAAGGCAGCTCCTCGTCAGCAACGGAACAAAGCTGGATGGAGAATGACTTTGACGAGTTGAGAGAGGAAGGCTTCAGAAGATCGGTAATAACAAACTTATCTGAGCTAAAGTAGGATGTTCGAACCCATTGCAAAGAAGCAAAAAAACCTGGAGAAAAGATTAGACAGATGGCTATAAACAGGGTAGAGAAGACCTTAAATGACCTGATGGAGCTGAAAAGCATGACACGAGAACTATGTGACAAATGCACAAGCTTCAGTAGCTGATTCGATCAAGTGGAAGAAAGAATATCAGTGATTGAAGATCAAATGAATGAAATGAAGCAAGAAGAGAAGTTCAGAGGAAAAAGAGTAAAAAGAAATGAACAAAGCCTCCAAGAAATATAGCACTAAGTGAAGAGACCAAATTTACGTCCAATTGGTATACCTGAAAGTGATGGGGAGAATGGAACCAAGTTGGAAAACATTCTTCAGGATATTATCCAGGGGAACTTCCTCAACCTAGCAAGACAGGCCAACATTCAAATTCAGGAAATACAGAGAACACCACAGAGATACTCCTTGAGAAGAGCAACTCCAAGACACATAATTGTCAGATTCACCAAAGTTGAAATGAAGGAAAAAATGTTAAGGGTAGCCAGAGAGAAAGGTCGGGTTACACACAAAGGGAAGCCCATCAGACTAACAGCAGATCTCTCAGCAGAAACTCTAGAAGCCAGAAGAGAGTGGGGGCCAAGATTCAACATTCTTAAAGAAAAGAATTTTCAACCCAGAATTTCATATCCAGCCAAACTAAGTTTCATAACTGAAGGGAAATAAAATCCTTTACAGACAAGCAAATGCTGAGAGATTATGTCACACCAGGCCTGCTTTACAAGAGCTCCTGAA